TTGAGAGGTGCTTGAGACGTGAAGTGGTGACAGTCCATGTGGGCAGAGAGAGAGAGAGACAGAGGACAACAGGACATTGACTTGGAGACATGAGGGTGCAGGAGGCGTGGGTGACTGACAACGAAGCTGAGAGGGAGATGGAAAAGGAGATCAAGCAAGTAAGAGAAAAACAGGAAATAAAGGATCAGAAATGAACTTTAGGGACCTTTTCAGGAGCAACGCGATGATTATGATTTAAAATGATCCAACTACTACTGTGAAAAATCTAGAAACAAAAATATACCACTCACTATTACTGAATAGAAATTCAGAAATTCATCTTCATATTTTCATATGTTGTCAGAAATCTGTAGACCAGCTGTTGATGTGAGCTACTCCTGTTTGTGCTGTTGTTAGCCTGCTAGCTTATCTCCTGCCTGGAGAAGTTGGAAGTCCTAACATGCAATGAATGTGCATGCTTTTAACGTTGTAAACTTGGACCATTTCACATGGGAGGCTATAAGGATTGTCTCCGTTTATCACTGCTGCGTGGCTGTAGGGCCACAGGTGAAAAGTCACATGCTGAAGGCTGGATTACTAACGAGCAAGGCAGGAAGTGCCCGAGAACTGAGAGCCTCCAGATTGTTGCGTATTGCAACACAAAAGGACATTATGAAGCAGAAATGATAAAGGGAGTTAAAGGATTTTGCACATGAATGTATACAGATCTGAACAGAGACTTTTATCTAAGCCTGTGAACAAATTTTAAAAAAGAAAAAGCTTTTGTTGCTCCAGAGGGAGTGGTGTGAAGTCTGACAAACAGCTGCAAGGAGTTGGTGCTGAAGACTACAAGTAGAAACTGAAAAAAAGTTTGAGTGCACAAAAAAGTGAGCTTCCCCAATATCTCATCTCTGCTTGAGGCTACGATAGGTTTTACATGCATAACACACCCGAATCAAACTGTCAGTGGTCAAAGTGTATTACGGGTAATGCATGAACTTTGTTTCAATGCAGAAGAAAGCATAGGTGTGCAAGTTTGAAGTATATTCACGTCTAATGCAATGACTGCATGCCTAACCAAGATAAAGACCCTCAGATTATCTTATGCCTCCCTGGAGATGTGTGCACAGAGTTGCCAAAACACATTTTAGTACCAGGAGGACGTGCATGATTTCTAAACATAATCCTGAGATGTGACCACTGAAAACAAACCCAAGCATGCTGCAATGCAGGAGTGAAGTCATTTTTGGATAAAAGGGACAAAAAATAAATACTGAAAAAGAAAAGGGAGCGTTAGAAGAAGACGGCGGAGGAGAGAAGTGACTTAAAGTGACAGGTTGTTGTCAGAGCGGCGAGACCCTGGAAGATAGATTAAGACAGGGTCAGCAACTTGACGCTAATGTCACGACTCATGACTAACCGCGGCTGTGTGTGCATAAGTGTGTGTGTAAAAACAGGGTCAGCAGTTTTTATTTGTCCAGAGTGGACTAAACCAGAGAGTGGAGCGTGTGTGTGTTTGTTTGTTTGAGAGGATGTCAGTACGAGGCCAGGAACTTTTGCACCATGAGGGTGCTTGACACAGTTTGTGCATTTGGGTGTTTTTTGTGTATTGGTGCATGTGTGCGTGTCTGTCTCCATGACCGTTTGCACTTGTTTGACCCAACGCTGCCTGGTCAAACCATTTCGCTTCCCTTTGTTTTGGTGCATTTTCCCTCACAAACCGTTCACGCCGAACAGCCACTTGTACTCCTCGTCACAAAAACAGATTGCTGTTGTATCTCTGCTGTCGACTGCTTGTTTCCAGCTTAGCTTATGTTTGCTGCCAGAGAAATGTGCAGCAAAGAGCGGCATTTAAAGCTGCTCTTTGTTTTAAATGCTGCAGTAACTTGCATGTAAAGATTCAAGATTCACACATGAAAGACTACAATCAAGGCCAATGGTGGAAACAGAAAAATGCCCAAATTTAAAGGAATCAGTGCTGAATGTTGCTACATTCAAATTCAGAGTTTTATTTGTTCGGTCTTCTATAGCTGGGAGTGAAATTGCAATCTTTAAACCCGCAGGGATGGATTGATCCATTTCGCAAGAGATATTCACTTCAGTTTTATTTATATAGCCCTAAATCACAACAAGGCACTTTATATTGTAAGGTAAAGACCCTATAATAATTCAGAGAAACCCCAATAATCAGACCACCCCTATATATGAGCAAACACTTGGCGATAGTAGGAAAGAAAAACTCCCCTTTAACAGGAAGAAACCTCCAACAGAACCAGTGTCAGGGCGGGGCAACCGTCTCCCACAACTGGCTGTGGGTGTGAGAAGAATGATTAAATGCAGAGCAGTGTAGAGACAGTAAACAGCAATAACACAATGTCACATTGCAAACCTGGCAAGGCAAACATTTCTTGTTTGGGGCTATCTACTTATTAAATTAAGTATTTTAGATTTTAGCTCTGTTTTGGTCTCCACCAATTCCTGAAAAAAGTAACTTGCGCCGTAGCTAAGAGCTCAAATTGCGTCCCTCATATAAGATTTGACTGTTTAATGCAGAAAAGAGTCTGTAGAACAGTTTTATTAAAGGACCCTGGATGTTTTAGCTATTCTGGGGCCATCCACTCTGTCCACTGTAACTAGTGCCTTTAAAAGAGTAAATGAACCAGCCAATTTGTTGATGGTAGGGATACACGGAGCATGCTGATCATTGTACTAGACAGACAGCAAACAAGCCAAGCACGATGTGAAAGAGACACGAAAGTTGCTGATTTCTTTTTCTGCAATGAAAACATCCCCTGTGGATTTCTCCAGGACTGATTCTGACTAGAATTGATTGTGTTCTCATAAAAGCACAACCATCGTCTGTGATTGCAGTTTGCCAAGGGTGCTTTTTTTTAATTATTTATTATCAAAATAGAGTTTTTGTATTCATATTTTAGCAATGGAACATGTAACTGTGTAACAATCTCCAAGTTCTTACTGTCTGCTTTGCTTCAAAGCTGCTATTGACTATTCTGTAGTGATTGATTTTTTTCATCTGGGTTCCCGAGCAGCTCATCTGCTACATCTGCTTCAGCTTTATTGTTTTAACTTCATTACAGATGCTGGCTACAAGTGCATCATCATTTACAGCACTTCTACAGACTCTTTCTTAAACTTCTCTTTAAGTAATGACTTTCCATTATTGCTTTTATTGCTTTTTCATTTCATTGTATCTGTTCAAATGCGTTGTGAAGCACTTTGTAACTATGTTCTATTGACTTCTAGGAAGAAAAAAAGAAGTCGTCACACATATAAGGTTTTGCTGACAGCTCACCTGAGCTGTTTTCCTCACATGAAACACATGTTTCAGAACGTTTTAATTGAAGACACCTAACAGTTGTTTTCATACTAAATACAATTAAGTGAACTGAAACAGTGTGAAAATTCATAAATAGATGTTATCAACAGTGAAGTAATCCACCCTTTCTCTGTCTGTCTCCAGGTTTTAGGTATCGACCTACACTGAGCTGACCCAGAGCACAACTCGGTAGAGTCCAGTGAAGGTCCACATCAGCAGAAATGGCTCCGGCAGCCATGTCTAAGCCTCCGTCCTCTCTCAACTCACTCCGCCCTTTCCACTTTTCTCCCTCTTCTTTCCTTCTCTGCCTCCTTCTCTCCTTCTTTTTGTTGCTGTCATGCCCTGGATCGGTCAGTGCAGGTGCCGGAAAGAAAAACTGTTCCTCTGGTGGAGATCCCTGTCAGGAAGGTGGGTCTGTGAGAAAACTGCAGTTTAATGTGAAAGAAGCACTGTAAAGAAGTAAAGAAGCACTGACATGATTAGACGTCTGTATGTAAGCCTCTCAGTGAGTGCAGTGAACTGAGAGGGTTCAATAAAATGGGTTACGCCTCTAGTTTGGCTGCCTGTGTACCAGCCAAGTCTTTGCAATCAGGAGAACCGATAAACATGACGATCAGCCTGACACTCAACACATTTCAACATATTTTCTCCTACGCTGATTATGGAGTATTAACATGCTAGGGAACACCGCCTCAGCGTATGGAGCTCAACATTTTTGAAGCAGTGTTGGATCATCCTGACAGTGAACAGAACAAAAAGCAGCCAGCAGCCAAAGAAGAGCATTGGATGTCCTTCTAGAAGCCTGGAGAACTAAAGCAGAACTATAACCGTCGAGCTTGTTAGAATCGCATGAACTGTGCTGTTGTTTTATATACTTTTGCACATTTTCTTAGCAAAATATTAAAAAATGAGGCATGACGCAAACGTTTTGCACAGTATTGTGTATTTCTCTTATGATACCACTTAATTATTCTAAACCAAGTAGTATAACTTCTTATAACAGCATAGTCCATTCCATATG